TTTTATTAAATTAAAAATTTAGATTAAATTTTTTTTATACAAATATAAATGTATTATTACAAAATCAAATAAATGTGTATATTTAAAAATTTTAATATTTGCAAATTAGTGGAAAATGCCTAGCGCGGCACTTTTTAGCGAGGCACTGTGCCGCGAACAGATTAGTCATTCTCCTATTATCATTTAATAAATTATAATTAATTATTTTATTTTTGCGGAGTCCAATAATGTACACAATGTATTTCCCAATGTATATTTACTATTATAAAAATGTATATAATTAATTCATCTATTAAAAAGATTTACAGTTTATATTATAAATTTGTTTTTAATTATTTCAATTTTGGAATATTATAAATATTTGGATTATAATTATATTATAATTTTTTTTGCCATAAAGAAATTAATTGATATTTGTTTCTATAATGAATTTGTCTAAATGACCAAGTTGATTTTTAGATCTGTTTGTTATATCAAACTATATGGGACAGAATTATATGCTTAATACATTTATTTTATTTTAAAATTTTTAAAAAAATATATTATTATATAATAGTTAAAAATCTTATTATAAAGATTCATTAATACTGTATTTTTAAATGATATGTTAATATGTTTTATTTGTATATAAAAATTATACAAATTATTATTAACAAACTTTATATGCTTTTTATTTCTCTTTTTAAGTTATATAAAATATTGATACAATGATTATTTGAATTGTTTGCAAAACGATTTAATAAATTTAATGAGAAAATGATTAAATACTAAAATGTAAAGAGTTTTAATTTTAAAATCATAATAAAACAAATTATGTTAGAACATGACTAATACAAATTACAAAATACTTACAAAATTTTATAAAATATATTTATTTATTTATTCGCATATCTAACCGATCATAGGTATCAATCGTGGTCTTTACCAAACGTTCAATATCGGCGTCAACCTTAAGATCTGCTACAACTTGCAGGGGCTGGCACATAAATAATAAAAAATTAACATTATATATGGTTAAACGTTATTTGTGAACATACCTTAAGTCGTTGCGGCGACAGCTGTTGGACGTCTTGGGCAACACTCTGTATGCGCGATGCGTTTCTACCGGTGACCACCACTCGGGCGCCCAATAGTGCAAACAATTTGGCAATACCCTCACCGATGCCGGTGCTCGAGCAATTTTATTTATTTACATTTAGTTTATTAAATTAATTACAAATAATAGTATACTATAATAGCCATTATATGCACTAATAAAATAAGTAATCATACTTTACGTAATATAAATTAACAGCAAATTAGCAAACATCATGTTAGTTTTTTCTGTTTAATTTGATTTTAAAACTCAATTGATTTTTATCATGTATTTAAATATATTTTATAGAATATGTGCTAAACAAGAAAAATTATAATTAATAAGAAGAATAACTATAAGTTACTAAAGAAATTATGTGAGCTAGAATTATATCATAAGTGCTTTTATTTTAATAGATAAAACTTATAAATAAATTAGTTAAGAATTTAATTATATTAATATTTTATATAATAAACTGTAAAGATATATTTTGGCTTAATACAAATTATACAAAGTATTTGAAACAAATTTTAAATGGCAATCGGTGAACACAAAATTATTGTGAATTATTGGGCTAAATGATATTGTATTATATTAGCCAAGTTGCCGTGTAGTTAGAATTCTGAAATTGGTTTTATAATTTAAATTGACATCTCTAGGCACCAGAATCCAAGTTTCATCAAGATGGGATGAATAGTTTATTAACAGGATTTTTTCAAAGTTTGTCGGTCGGAATTATTTTGAAAAATTTACAACAAAATATTTGACAAAAAATTATCACATTTTTAAAGTGAAAATATTTTTATCAAAGATGTGTTTGAAGTGATTATTTGGTTATTGGAATTCACTATTAGTTATCAGACAATAGTTTTGTGTAGATATCATGACATCAATTATAACGGGAATCAATTGCGAACCGACCGAACACAGGCCGCCATGCGGGTTAATCACCGATTTTTGTGTGGCCACAGTTGGGGTTGCGGTCAATGTTGGCCAATGAATAGACTATGGTTAGATTTTCACAAGAGTAACCATTTTATATTATGTCTATTATTGTTTGAGCATGGTTAATTTTACTACGATTTCAACCGTCGGTAAATACGAAAACTGGTACCCTCCCATAGGAATACATTGTTTTGCCCTACTTCATTCAAAAAATTCCTGTGTCAACAATGAGTCTACGATTTTGATGAAACTCGGATTCTGGTGCCTAGGAATGTGAGTCTTAATAATGAGACCAATTCCAAGATTCTAGCTACACGGCAAATGGGCTAATATAATACATTATCATTTAGCCCAATATTTAAAATATTCATTAATGAAAATATATATACTTAATCATAAAGTTTTGATTTAACCACCATTATAAAACAAATTATATTATGTTAAATATTTATAATGTAAATTACAAAGTATATTAACAATGTAAACAAATATACTGTATTTGTCGGTATTGTTATTTATTAACATTTAGGGCATAAAAATAAAAAATAACTATATGCACTAATATTGACCTAATGCAAATAATTAATCATATACTATATAATATTTTACAACAAATTTTACAACATAATTAATTATCACTACTGGCACAACAATCGCCGACACGTAGCAATCAGTAAAAAATATGCCAAATTAACTTGGTGAACTTAAAGATTTTGTAGGATTTTGCGGCACCATCGATTTTGCACTAACATTATTGCTCATATTTTAATACTATGTTTTATAATTAATTACAGCCGTTACGAGTTGTGGCCGATTTGACCAATACAGTGGACATCGATCGATTGGTGGGCGAAATCGGGCACAAATTCGGCCGATTAGACGCAATGATCACATTTGTCAACAGTTATCCCCTGTTGAACATTACGGACACAAACCTAATGGATGTGTGGGTCCAGACATTACGCGCCGATCTCAGGGCCACCGCTGAGCTCTTCCACCTGACCTACCCTTTGCTCGAGAAGGCCAGGGGTTCCGCCACTGTTGTCGCCACCATTGCCGGCGCCGCACCGGTATATAACACATATTGTCTGATCTGTTAAATAATAATATCCACCGTGGTGTTTGTTATTTGTAAAATTATCACTTAGGTTGCTGTGGAACTGGCCTATAGTACCAGTATATCACCGGGCCAATTTGGTCATCGATGGTGGTATCATTTACAATTACCCGTCTAATTTAAAATTATGTGACAATTTAAATGTAAAAGCTAATAATTACACTAATATATCCAAATACCTAACAATTATAATAAATTATAAAATTATAAAATACATGGCAAACTATGTGCTAATTTAATGATTCATTCATTTGCATGTGTGTATGACATCCTGAAATTATATAAATCAATTTTATTTGTAAGTAATAAAATTATAATCTTTTTGAAAATATATTTATGGTTAAAGTTAATTAAATATAATTGTTAGCAAATTATAATTATTTTGTTTCATAGTAATTTTTAGATATTTTAAGATATATAATAACTTAAATTTTGATATTAAAAATATAAGACTACGCTTTGCACTCACCGTTTTACATTTATTATCATAATGATTTATATAATTAATTTACCGACTAGAAAGATTTACAGTTTATATTATATTGCTTTTAGAAATTATTTCAATATTGGAATATTATAAATCTTTTATTTGCATTAAAACCCATTAAAGCAAATCGATAAATATTTTTTGTTATAACAAAGTCAGAATAACCACGGTGATTTTTTAGTTTTTGTCAATAAAAATATGCATGTCAGATTTATATTCTTAGTCTATTTATTTTAATAGAAAAAACGTATGAATAAATTATTTAAACATATAATTATATTAATAATTTTAAAAATAAAATGTAAATATATTTTATTGATAAATATAAATTATACAAATAATTATTAAAAAAAATTATAAATGGAACCAGCTACCTATTTTAATTTTATAAAATATTGAAAAAATAATTAAAAGTTTCCACATTAGACATTGTGTGTTTATATTTATAAAATCGTAACCTAAGTTGCTGTGGTACCGCCAAAGCCTGCGTTCAACACATGGTTAAAAATTTAGCCCTCGAGTTGGGCGCAAAGGGAGTGCGAGTGAATATTATCAAGTAATTAGACATTAGATCATTATTATTTAATATATATTTAATACGCTATTTTTACCTCGGTAACCCAGTGTTGGCGCTGATGGAGATAAAGGCACCGTTGGGTCATTTGGGTGTATCTTTGGATGTGGCCAAAGGGGCTGTGTTTTTATCGTCATCTAATGCCAAGTATATTACCGGGCCAATTTGGTCATCTGCAATTACCCGTCTTATTTTAAATAATGTGACAATTTAAATGTAATTGCTAATAATTACACTGATATATTCAAATACCTAACAATTATATAAATCAATAATTATAGTAATTAATAAAATTATCAAATATTTGACAAACTATGTGCTAATTTAATTTTTAATTCATTAGCGTGAGTATCTAAAAACAAATAGTAAAATTTAACTTATAAACTCTAATTTAATTTGTTTTACTTGGTAAGTATTGTTGGTATTTATTACAGTTAAATTAATGGAGAACGCAAATCTAATAAATTAAATTAATTTAAAATTTTATCAAAATTATATAATAAAACCATCACTAATTAAATTGTAACAGTGGTATAAAATTTAAATGCGCAATATACTGTATACGATATTTATATACGATTTATTTTAATAAAATGTAATGATTCAATTAGGTTAATTGCGTAAATTATGTTGATTATAATAATATATTAGAAGAGTATAATTATTTTATTACTAAATGCATTGACCTAAGGACCAGAGCCACTACTAAATATAAAAATGCCCATGTCCATTGTAAAATTCAATAATGGCTCTGGTCTCTAAACCAAAGCCAAAAAATGTCCTACGGTTTATTTACGAACTCTTTTGGAACATTCCAGTTATAATTTGTTAATAATAGTTTAATTAATCTAAATAGATTGTTTACAAATAATTACAGTTGATAAAATAATATTTACACAATTAAAGTATGTTTTAAAATTAAATTAGATTACAAAATATAATTTTAAGGCAGCATAGTAAATAAAGATTATTCTAAAATATAGTACATTTATATTACAAATAATTACATTAATTTAATGACAAATTTATTTATGTCAAATGAAGTGCCCTTAAAAAGTACGAAACATTTTAAACTATTGCTATGATTAATTATAAAATTAATTATTACTAACAATAAATTTTATTTTTATTATCCGTAAAATTTTATTGTAAAAATAACATTACAACTATAATTTTTAAAATGATTCAAACTTTGTTAATTATGGCACTTTTATTGCAAAATAATAATTGTCAATATTTAAGCCATAATTCAATTAGAACAATTGACAATTTATATAGTTCATTTATTAATAAATGCATCACTAATGCTGAATTAATTATAAACAATCTATTATTATTAGCAAATAGTATATTTTACTTATGGTCTCAATTGCCAACCGTACGGATTAAAAGTGAAGGTATGCAAATTTATTTAATAAATAATAAAAGTTAAATATTGAATGAGCCTAATGTGCTTGTGCATAATGTGTCTAACACATCATTTATGCGGCAATATTTATATTTGTACCAAAATAAGTTTTTTATTAATTTTTTTTAATTATTTTTTTTAATAAAATTAACAAAAAATAATTAAGATAAAATGTAAAAATTGTAGGAAAATAATAGGGAATATTCACAATGTGCACGGGCATTTCTATCTTAGCCATTATATTTATTAAATTGTTTGTTTAGATATAAGAAAATTTTTATCAGAAGCCGAGAATAATCTATGTCACTCCCACTGTATACATTTGTCACCATATTCATTTATTCTATACTGTCATTGTATGCAACATAAATGCGTTTAACGAAACTCATACAATAATTAAATACAAAATGCTTTTCCAAATAATAAATTTTATTAAGAAAAATAAATCTAATTTATATATTTTATATATATAATATATTATTTAAAAATATAAATATTACAATATATTAAAAAAGTTTGAGATATAGAATTGTTTTATTAATTTTTAAATTATATAAATTATTAAACTTTATATTCCGATTTTATTTAATAAATAAACAATTATAATATAGTTTAATTGAATATAATTTTTATCATGGATATTTATTAAAACGATGGTAACGATCCCAGCGGGTGGTATGCGCGTACTGGCCACCTATAATATAAA